CTGTAACACTCGCTTGTCCTTCGCCAACTACAAGACCAAGATGACTGCCCTCCAACGTCCTGATGGATCTATCACATCTTTCAGAAGGGCAATGGAGAAGATTATCGATGATGTCTACTCAGATCTCTTTGATAGCCACGTCCATCTGCCCACATACCAAATTCCGCAGGATGGATATGTCGTTCCCATTGTTCTCCCTTCAGAAATTCAACACGCCATTTCATTGGTAAAGAAATGAACAGCACCTGGCCCAGACAAGGTCAGACCTGAACACCTGAAGAACCTGTCATCAGTACTCATCAATACACTGGCTCGGCTCTTCACATGCTACCTGTCTGAATGCAAGCTTTCGTCCCAGTGGAAAACCAGCAGGACTGTACTACTGTATAAGAAGGAAGATATCCATGACATTGACAACTATCGCCCAATCTGCCTATTGTCTGTCATCTACAATGTGTTCACTCGAGTCATCCTAAATAGGATTGGCAGAACACTAGATGAAGGACAACCATGCGAGCAAGCCAGGTTCCACAAAGGATTCAGCATGATTGACCATATCCACACGATAACCAAGCTCATTGAGGTTTCTCGGGAGTTCAAGATGCTTCTCTGTCTTACGTTCATTGATTTAAAGAAGGCCTTTGATTTTGTTGAGACAGAAGCGGTCATTGAAGCCCTAGCCAATCAGGGTATTCAAACTCAATACCCCAAGATCCTCCATGAGCTGTATTACAGATTCACTACCAGGATCTCACCATTCGACAAAGAAGTGGTCATCCATGTCAAGAGAGGGGTTTGGCAGGGTGATACCATTTCTCTGAAGCTCTTCAGTGCCACCCTCAAGAACATCATGTGAAAACTGGAATGGGAAGGAATGGGAGTGAAAACAGATGGTTGGCAACTACACCACCTATGCTTTGCTGATGACATCATTCTAATAACACCAAACATTAGCCAAGCAGCACAAATGCTGGCCAACTTCGACCGTGAGTGTGGAAAGGTCGGACTCCCACTGAGTCTCACGAAGACAATGTTTATGAGAAACAGGCTCGTTCCTGACGTTCTATTCGTTATCAACAAAACAACCATCTCCGAATGCAACAGTTATGTGTACCTAGGTCAAGAAGTCAACATGATGAATGACCTGGCACCTGAGTTGTGCAGGAGGAAGAGAGCAGCTTGGAACGCCTTCAAGAGTGTCGAAGAAATAGCAAAGAGGATGAAGAACCTCCAGCTCTGGGAACATCTCTTTGATTCCACTGTTCTTCCTGCATTAATTGTTCCTTCAGAGACCTGGGCACTATGAAAACAGGATGAAAACGCTATTCCGGTCTCTCAAAAAGGAATTTAAAGAGCTATGCTTGGAGTATCACGTTTCACTCAAATGAGAGAAAGAATCTGGAGTTCCAACCTCCATCTACAGTCAAGTGTCAGGGACACTGTCTTGTTTGCCAAGGCATCGAAAATCAGATGGGTTGGACACGTAATGAGATTTGGAGACAATTGCTGGAGTAGAGCCATTACCGACTGGATTCCACAGGATGTCAAAAGACCGTGTGGCCGCCCACCTTCAAGATAGACAGACTTCTTCGTCAAGACCCTGAATGATTGGTTTGAGGCTCTTTGTGTTCCTAGAACAAGCAGACGCCATTGGGCTACACTAGCACGTGAAAGGGACGAATGGAGACGTTACTGGTGCCTGCTGCAGCAAATCAATGATTAACGGGATGTCAAGTGATCAAGTGAATTAAGTGGTATTCTAATACTGAAGATAGTATTGACTTCAATATTATCTCTGTTCAACAGACATAGAAAATACTTTTTTAAAATTTATTTATTTATTTATTGAATCGCTGTGGGAAAAGATACAAAGCTTACAGGTTTTTGTCTCGGTCATGCAAATATCAATCACATTTCCCTTTACCAATACTTATTTTTCACCACGAAGAACCCCAATAAAACCCCACCCCCCAATGCCTGTGGGGCAGATGAATTCTAGTTAACACTCTATCTACTTTGACTAGCTTCATTGTTTTGATAAAAGTTGCACCATTATTATTTAGACTTTACCCAACCCCCCCCCCCCCCAATCAGCCATGCTGAAAAAGCATTGTGAAATTATTTGATTTCTACAGCTGGGTTCAAGAATTAAATGATGTCGTGGTTTTGGATTTCTGCTATTTTACTTATTAACCCTGGAAGTATTTCTACTGAGAGTCAGATAATTAAGAGATTGGTTTCTGTGCTCTGGAGTCATGGCCGTGCCGGAGAGCCGCTCGTGGGGGGCAACTGGTGACCTCGGTAGGGCATGAAGGACGGGCTGGAATGCCCCCCGTCCCATGAGGTTTCAGTCATGCCCCCACCCCCGGCTCAGACCTGCTCTCCACAAGGCTCCCATGCGGCCGCCATCTTTCTTTCCAGAGAGGAGAAGGCGAATGGAGCAACACCCTTTCCCCTCCGGGCAGGCATGATGGCCTGGATCAACGCATAGTCCATTCGGAAAATACTTTTTAGAATCTTCTAACATAATATGAAACTATGGAACACTAGAGAGTTCTTCATGAACTTCAAGGAGGGCACTTTTGTACAAAATTTTCTTAGATAAAATTATTGCATGGTCCCCAATCACTCCAGGAGTGATCTCTGTGCTCAAGGTAAACACTGAGTACCACCAAGTATGGTTCAAAAGCCACCCACCCAATTATCGCATAATCCTTAAGTAAGGAGTGTTTCTCAACCTTTTTCCAGCCATCGAAACTTCTGACTTCATTTCATTCTTCTGCGCCACTCTTCACCTATGTTCCCAAGTTCTATGCTCTGTTCCTTGCCCCTGGTTTAGAAATGCTGACGTGAGGTAATGATTCCAAAGAACAGGTGTGTATAATGTGTTCAGAAAGTAGTGCCTAAGGAGGTAAAGTTCCTTAAACACTAAATATACAAATTACATACAAATAATTCCACTATCAATAAAAGGTTTTAGGAAGAACTAATAACCTCCAAGGGTTTTGTTATTTACTTTTCAATAAAGACTCAAGTTTCAATGCCAAGCACGAAATGTCTACAACCTAGAAATCTTATCTCAGCATTTAAAAAGATGTTTATTATCCCTGAGAACTGCCAACAAAGCTATTAAGGTGCTACTTTACTTGACGATAAACCACCCACCCTGATTTATTCTTACCAAGTTAGGACGATAGTATGATGATGGTAGGAATACATAGTTAGAAGGTCCAAGGAATGGTATTTGTAGGTGAGTTTCCCTCCTTGGCAGCCAAAAATCTCCAGAACTCAATCACCTGCCATACTCACGACCATTCTCCACAGGCTTGGATGAACCTCACCCGTAAGTGAATCTGCTGTATAATCATTCTAAAATTTAGAAATCCTGGACTGCACAGCCACATTTGCAGCCACACAACCTCTCATAATCTACACCATTGATGTACCACGAGTAACACATACAAGGACTTAATGGCTCCAGGATGAAATACAATAATCTTCACACACTTTCCTGTAAAGGAACTTGATTGGACCATTTTAATGGAGTATGCATAATAAGCAACGCAAAGTTAATTGTTTCAGTTCTGCTTTGGGGTGCAAGGTTTGAGATTTGGGGTGGGAAAGTGCAATGTTGGTGGGATTGGTGTTTGAATATTAAATATAATGAATTATTGTGAAAACTTTATAAAAATAAAATTAAATTTTAAAAAAGAATCTATTAACCTAAGATGGCTAATCAGGACAAATATATTTGAAGTCAGAAGAATTATTGTTGCTGAGCATAATGAGTAAGAGAAATCTGTAACAGTCTATTGCGACGTCAGTAGACATTGCAGCTATACCAATTTGGAGTTAGGACCCAAAAAAGGTGTTTAAAATGGCATTGAAATGATTGGAAAGAGATGATTAAGAAATTGCTAAAGGAAAGGTGAATGAAATGAGAAAAATCAAGGATGGTTTTACATTTACTCTTTCCCAAAGCAAATTGTTTTCTATTCCATCCCATATGTCAGTTTGTCAGTTACCGTCTGAATAGTTTTAATATTAAGTAACTCACAAGTTGAAAAATCAACTTACGTTTGTTGAACAATTCTGATGGTCAGAAAAAAATCTAATCTTTGCTAAAACATTTATGTAGCCATAGTTTAAAACTTTGTCATTGACTCTAGTTCTGTCCATGAAGTAACAAAGAATAAAATTGTCCCTTTGGGACTGGAGAACAAACAACAATGGGTAAGATTTTTATGTAGCCCATCTTGGTTCAGTTCCTGCCAGGAGTTATCCCTGAGCATAGAGCCAGGAATAAGTCCCGAGCACTGCTAGGTATGACCCAAAAACCAAAACAAAGCTGCCTCTTACATAATATATTGATTCAATATTTATGATAGCTATAATATTTTTCCTATTATTTCTCTTTTTGCAGATAAATATCCTAACTTAGAAGTTATGGAGGCCACGTGACTTGGTATCTTGAGAATACAGGCCTGCTGGCTTACTCAAGGAGCAGAAGGCCAGAGTATTCGCTTTACCTCTACTGCAATGTCAGTACCATGATCTAGTACCATCTCGATTGGCAGTTTGGGGAATATCATGGGATCTTTGGGGGATGTCTATTCAGACCATGGCCACCAGTATCATTTTCTCAGGAGATAGAGCCCTCTTTGATTTTTCTGTGTGTGTGTGTGTGTGTGTGTGTGTGTGTGTGTGTGTGTGTGTGTTTGGGGGCAACACACACAGCAATGCTCAGAACTTACTCCTGGTTCTATGGTCAGGGGTCATTCCTGGCTGTGCTGGGGAACCATAACAGAGTTGATTTTCAAAGATAAGTCTCTCTGACTCCCTTTACAGCATAATACTGCCAGCAAAAAGGGATGTCACAATTAACTTGAAGAGGATCCTCATGAACTGGGGCTGTTGCTTAGTAGCCAGTTTGAGCTTTACCTTTCCTTTTCTTGGTTGAAGGTCAGTTATGAGAATGGTGAATTACAGTGATTGTACCAATGAAAAACATCACGTTTTCAGAAACTTCCCACTGGCAGCCAAGCTGGGTAAAATTATCTGAGGAACTTTCACGTCTTCGGTCAGGTAAAAACTCAAAAGCAGCTGCAGATTCACCATCGACCCCCAGCCTGTTACCATTTCGGGAATTTATTAAAGGTAACTATTAGGTTAGCTATACCTGTTTTTGAAGTTTATGTAAATGTACCCATATTTTGTGTTAAAATTCAAGTCTGAATTATTTTATTCAACATTGTGAGGTTGTATTATTGTAGATGAAAGATTTTATTAAATTTTTTAAAATTTTTATTAGTGAGACACCATGAGGTACAGTTGCAAACTTACAAATTTTTGTGCTTGCATTTCAGTTATATAATGATCAAATACCCATCCCTCCACCAGTGCCCATTTCCCACCACCACTATAGACCAAACATGATTTTATTAATTTTTACTGCTCAAAGTGTTTCTTTATAAGAACATTCCTACTGAACATTTGGTTCACTCTGTGACTGTCATGCTGCTCTTACTGTTCTTGTACACTCTTTTAGTACACAATTGTATGCATTTCTGCAGAATAGATACCAAAAAGTATAAATTATCAGGTCATAGGGATGCTTGTATACAGTTTCAGTGAATTCTATCAGTATTTTTAAAAAGTATTTATATTTACTAAAACTTTATTTAATATTTCTTGTGCTCCATGTCCTCAGCACCATTTGTTACCTATCATTTTGATTTTGAAGTAGGTATCATTTTTGTTTTAATTTTCATTTCCTTCATGACTAATGAAATTTAATATTTTTTATGTTTATTGGTGACTTGAATATTCTTTTTTCTATGGTTCTTATTCAAGAATTTTATCCATTTTGTTAGTTTTCTTATTCTTCTGTGATAGTCTGGTATGTTCTAGATATACATTATTAAATTGAAATGTGTAAGTAATGTGTTAAATTTTTCATATTCTGGTGCCTTATTAAAAAACAGTGAAGAGGATTTAACCCCCCACACCTCGTATGGTCCCTCAGCATCAACAGGAGTGATACTTGAGCATAGATTCAGGAATAATCCCTAAGCACAGATGACTGTGACCCAACCCATCCTTTTTAAATACTGAAAAGAAAAATGTGAGGTTAATTTTAATATATTATTTAAACCATACATAAAATATTATCATTTCAATATGGTCCTCATGAAATTTATTGAAATATTGTAAACTCGTTTTTAGCCTACATATTTAAAGTGTATACATATTTTAAAAATACTATTATTATTATTTGGGTTTTGGGCCACACCCAGAAGTGCTAAGTGATTGCACCTGACTTTGTGCTCAAGAGTTACTCCTGAAGGGGTTTGGGGAACCATATGGGTGCCAGGGAATGAACCTGAATCTGTCATGTGAGATGCAATACCTTACCACTGTACTATCTCTCTGGCCCCTAAGTCTTTTACACTTATACCTTCTTAGCTTGGACTAATCACATTTGGTGTACTCAATTGTTACATACAAATAAATATTAGACATTGACAGAACTTTATTTATTTTGTTTCTATTTCCTCTCATATTCTGGCTTACATTATTTTTTTTTAATTTTAGAATTTTTATTTTATTGAATCACTGTGAGCTAGAGCATAAAGCTGTTGATGATTGGGTTTCAGTCATACATGTTCAAAGACTCATTCCTCCACCAGTGCAATTTCCCAGCATCAATGTCCCCAGTTTCCCTCCCACCCCACCAAAACTCCCCCCACACCAACCTGCCTTTATGGCAGGCACCACTGTTCTCTGTCTTTTTCTCTCTCTCTCTCATTTTAGATATTATGGTTTGCAATACCGATGATGAAAGGCTATTATGTATATCCCTTTACCTACTATCAACACTCATTCTTGTCCAGAGTGATAATTTCCAACTAATGTTGTCATAATGGACCCTCTATCTTAACTACCCTCCACCCTCCACACCCTTATGGTAATTTCCAACTATTGACCAGTCCTCCTGGCCCATTTTCCCTGGCCTTGGTTATCAGTTTTATACTATCTTTTTTTTAATATATGCCACAAACGAATACAGTCTTTCCATATCTTTCCGTCTCCTTTTGACTCATTTGACTCAGCCTGATACTCTCAAAGTCCATTCACTTATAGGCAAATTTCATGACCTCATTTTTCCTAACACTTGTATAATATTCCGTTGTGTAAATGTACTTTAGTTTCTTTATCCAGTCATCTGTTTTCAGGCACTCAAGCTGTTTCCAGATTCTGGTTATTGTGAATAGTGCTGCAATGAACAAAGAAATGCAAATGGTGTTTTTGGACCTCCAGGGTATATTCTCAAAGTGGTCAAAAGGGAGCTCAATTTCTAGTTCTTCTGATGAATATCTCTATTGTTTTCAGAAAAGGCTGGATCAGTCAGCATTCCCATGAACAATGAAGGAGACTGCCTTTCTCCCCACATCCTTCCCAGAACTGGTCGCTACTATTCTCTTGGATGTGTGCCAGTTTCTGAGGTGTGAGATAATATCTCATTATAGTTTTGATTTGAATCTTCCTGATAATTAGTGATGAAGAGCATTTTGTTTATGTGCCTTTTTGTCATTTAAATCTCTTCTTTGAGAAAGTTTCTGTTCATTTCTTCTTCCCATTTTTTGACGGGGTTGGAATTTTTTCTTGTAAAGTTTCCTGTTTATCTTTGATTAATCCCTTATTAGATAGATGTTGAACAGTTTTCCTTTTCCATGGGCTGTCTTTGTACCTGAGTCAGTGTTTCTTTTGAGGTGCAGAAGCTTCTTAGTTTAATGTAGTTCCATTTGTTAATCTTCACTTCCACTTCCTGGGTCAGTGGAGTTTCATCTTTGAAGATGCCTTTGAGGGTTTTGCTTATGTTTTCTTCTCTGTACATTGTGAATTCAGGTCTGATGTTGAGGTCTTTATTCCATTTTGATCTGACTTTTGAGCATGGCATTAGATAGAGGTGAGAGTTCTTTTTTTGTTTTTTTTACATGTAGCTGTCCAGTTTTCCCAGCTTGTTGAAGAGACTTTCCTTGTTCCATTTTATATTTTTTGCCCCTTTATCAAAGATTAAGTGATATATTTGAGGGTCTATGCCATAATATTCAACTCTATCCCAGGTTTATCTTTATTCCAATACCACGCTGTTTTATTTTATTTTATTTTATTTTATTTGCTTTTTGGGTCACACCTGGCGATGCACAGGGGTTACTCCTGGATCTGCACTCAGGAGTTACTCCTGGCGGTGCTCAGGGGCCCATATGGGATGCTGGGAATTGAACCCAGGTCGGCTGCGTGCAAGTCAAACACCCTACCCGCTGTGCTCTCTCACCAGCCCCCACGCTGTTTTAATTACTATGGCTTTGTAGAACAGTTTGAAGCTGGGGAAGGTGATGTCTCCCATCTTCTTTTTTTCCCAAGGATTGCTTTAGCTATTCGCGGGGGTTCATTGTTTCATATGAATTGCAGAAGTGTTTGATCAATTTTTTTGAAAAATGTCATGGGTATCTATCGGGACTGTATAATGCTTTGGGGAGTATCGCAATTTTGACAATGTTAATTCTCCCAAGCCATGAGCAAGGGATATGTTTCCATTTCCTCATGTTCTCTTTTATTTCTTGAAATAGCGTTTTGTAGGTTGTGTGTGTGTGTGTGTGTGTGTGTGTGTGTGTGTGTGTGTGTGTAGGTCTTTTGCCTCCTTAGTTAAGGTGATTCCAAGGTATTTGAATTTCTGTGAATGGGATTTTTTTTAAATATCACTTCCCTCTCTTTCTTTATTTGCAAATAGAAAATTCATGAACTTTTGGGGATTGATTTTGTAACCTGACATTCTACTATACAAATCTATTGTTTCTAGGAGCTTTTTGGTAGAGACTTTAGGGTTGTCTGAGTATAATATTATGTCATCTGCAAATAGCGAGAGCTTGAATCCTTTCCTATTTGAATGCCCTTAATATCTTTTACTTCCCTAACTGCCATGGTGAGTATTTTCAGTACTGTGTTAAACAGAAGTGGTAGGAGTGGGCAATCTTGTCTTGTCCCCAAGCCTAGGGGGAAGGGTTTTTTTTTCCCCATTGAAAATAATGCATGTTGTGGGCTTGTGGTAGATGTCTTTGACTATGTTGAGGAAAGTTACTTCAACTCCCATTTTGTTGAGAATTTTTATCAGGAATGAGTGTTAGATCTTGTCAAAACGTGGGTTTTTTTTTTGCATCTATTGATATGATCATATGTTTTTTTATCTTTTCTTTTATTGATATGGTATACTATGATGATTGGCTTGAGAATATTAAACCATCTTTGCATCCCTGGGATGATTCCTACTTTGTCATGGTGTATAATATTTTTGATGACTTGTTGGATTCTCTTTGCTAATATTTTGTTGAGGATAATTACATTCATCAGGGATCTTAGGGATCTCTGTAATTTTCTTTCTTTCTTTCTTTCTTTCTTTCTTTCTTTCTTTCTTTCTTTCTTTTTTTGTGGTGTCCCTGTCTGCTTTGGGTATCAGGGTGATTTTTGCCTCATAGTAACTGGGAGTGATTTCTATTTCTTCAGTTTCCTGAAAAAGCTTGAAAGGATTGGCAGTAGATCCTCTTTAAGGTTTAAAAGAATTCACTAGTGAATTCATCTGGGCCTAGGCTTTTGTTTTTGGGAAGACTTTTGATCACCATTTCAATTTCCTCAATGGTGATAGGTCTGTTCAGGTATTCAAAATCTTCTTGCTTCAGTCTTGAGAGTTTGTAGAATCCAGAAATTTACCATTTCTTCAGGGTTCTCTTGTTTTCTTCATTTAAGATGTTTTGAAGTAATCTCTGATGATCCTATGGATTTCTGCATTTTCTGTTGTGCTGGCCCCCTTTGCATTTCTCATACAGATTATTAGGTTTCTCTCTCTGTTTCTTTGTGAGTCTTGCTGGTGGTTTATGGATCTCTTTTATTTTCTTGAAGAACCAACTCTTGGTTTTGTTGATTCTTTGGACTGATTTTTGGAATTCCAGATCATCAATTTTTGCTTTAAGTTTTTATTTCCTTCCTCCTGCCTGATTTGGGCTCCTTTTGTTCATCATTTTCCAAGATCTTAAGCTGTGAGGTTAAGTTATTGATGTGGCCTTTTCTACCTTCTTGATGAACGCTTACAGAGCTATAAA